ATTCGAATGTTTCTTCTCACAGGTGTGCCGTTTTTAACCATTTTTTGCTGTTATTGTTCAGTTTTGTTTGTTTTCTAATACTAATGAGTCAGAAAACTGTTAACCAGCACAACAATGCCCTTATGAAATTAAAAATCTCAGTGCATCAGCCTTCATCAATCAACGATYACCCAAGATGCAGTAAATGTTTAACTCCAATGAAGGACTTTGGGGGAAAATTCAATTAACTCAATGAGTCTGTGCCCACCTGTCTTGTGCCCACCTCTTACATCACAAGCCAAGAAAAGGAATTTGTGTTGAGATCTGCCAGAACCAGCCAGGCAGCGACACAGGGTGCTCACCCTGGGGTTCTTTCTGAAATAAATGAARGGATGATGGCACAGGAGCTCTGGATCAGTCTGGAGCACTCTGAGGGCAGTTCCAGCCCCAGAACCAACCAGGATGGTTATTCCTAACACCACAGGCAGGGAGGGAGCAGCTCCTTCACCCTTTGCTGATCCCGAACAGGAGATTTTAATCCATCTCTGCACATTGATGTCAGTGACAAGGGGAACCAGGCTTTGCTTTGTGGCTGTTTTTTCTCAGCCAGGACAGGCACAGGCCACTCTCCAGGCTGATGCACCAGGAGCCCTCAGGAGGCACAGAAGCTGYGGATTTGCTGTGCCCCACGCACAAGGGGAAGCTTCCATTTCACAGTTTTAAATGAAGAAACAGCGTTTTTGGTCTCTAAGCTCCATTTTCACCCYCACTTAGCCCAAGACTGAGGAGGAGGCAGAAGGCAGCTCTACCTGGGGCAGATGCCAGCACTTTAATCTGCTGATCAAGCTGGAGAGCATCCCCTCCTCAGAACAAAAGGCAGGATTTAGGCACAGCTCACCCCATTGATCAGTCCTGTTTGAGTCAGGGAGAGCCCTGGTGAAGATGAGCTCTCTCTCCTCCTCCTCCTCCCCAAACCCAGCTCCTCTCCCCATCCCAGCTTTTCTGGGGTTTCCAGCTGCAAACCAGAACTGTCCAGGAGAGCAGCAGAGCAGCGGGATCTCCCAGTGCTGCTCCTTGGATCAGCTTTCCAGCTCTCACACGGTTTGGATGCACAGAARGGGCATTGATTAATACCAAACAGGCCGGGGAATTTGAATCTAAACTCCTTAAATTGGATTTTTCTCCCTGTCAGGCCATAGGTGAGCACACCCAAACTCGTTTTGCAGGTACAGCATCGCAGCCACAGCAATCACCACCAACCTCTTCTCCCTGACTCTCCCCCACACACTTTAGGATCTGCTGTTATCATTTCTGCAGTCTGCCTTTCGAGAAGCCACCAGGCAGTAATTTTATTTCCTAAGGACCCCAGCTGCTGTCCAGCTGTTCTTTATTGCTCCACAGCAGAAGTGAACAGCCTTGTTCAAAGCCATGTGAACTTGATAGCCCAAAACTCSAGAGTTTTCCTGGAAACTCATCCCCCCAGCACAGCCCTGACCCGTTCCTCCAGCTCCAAACATCAAACATTTGTGCTCCCAGCTCATGAACAGCACCCCAGAACCAAGGGCTCAGAAATTACTCCGTGTATCTCTGTATATGAATCCACAGTTCATTGGCAGTAAATGCCTTTGCAGGGGCTGTAAATTTGACAGGTAAATTTGGCTGGTAAATGTGGCTGGTAAATATGGCTGGTAAATTTGGCAGGTAAATGTGGCTGGTAAATCTGGCTGGTAAATTTGGCAGGTAAATTTGGCTGGTAAATTTGGCAGGTAATTTTGGCAGGTAAATGTGGCTGGTAAATGTGGCTGGTAAATTTGGCAGGTAAATTTGGCTGGTAGGTAAATTTGGCTGGTAAATGTGGCAGGTAAATTTGGCTGGTAGGTAAATGTGGCTGGTAAATTTGGTTGGTAAATGTGGCTGGTAAATTTGGCAGGTAAATTTGGCTGGTAGGTAAATTTGGCAGGTAAATTTGGCAGGTGCCAGCGAATTTCCCCTAAGGTCATTTCACCAAAACCTTGCTGTCCTGAGGTGCCCTTTGCCTTTTCAGAGCAGTGCAAAGCCCAGCCCAGCTCAGGCTCAGCTCTCCACACCCTGAGCCCGGCCTGGAGCCCCAGGGCATCAAAGATCCCTGCAGCAAACTGCCTTTGTCCATTTTTCTCCCCTCGCTGTGGAACAGATTCCACTCAGTGCCACCACATTGGGTTTATAGGKGCTCTGAATCATGAGCTGCTCTTTTCAGTCCAATCCTTCCTCCTCTGAAACACCACCTTTAAACACCACCCAGAACAGCTCTTTTTGCTACAGAACCTTTATTTGCTGGTGGAATATCTGCCTCCTCAATGCCCCTTCCCCTGCTCGCCACCTTTATTCCTTTATTGCCATCACATGGCTCATCTGTCACACTGGACATTTTCCCCTTAAAGCCACACGAGGAACTCTGAAAAGACTCTGACAAAAAGCACATTCCACTCCAAACCATCACCCTCACAAAATCCTACTTGCCCCAAATTGTGAGATGTTGAAGCTCCTTAATGAAACAGCCGAGATATTTTTAACGTGGTCAAAAAACCTATTTTATCTTCTGACCTTCAGCTCAGAAATAGCTGCGCTATTTTTTTTTTCCCCATTTTTGAAAAAATGACTGCATGAAGCAAACCCCTCCTGCAATTGCAGCCTCAATATTTAAAGTTTGGCATCGTGTAACAGGCTGAAAACAGAAGATATTAAACAAATGCTGCTGCTCCCAACKTCCAGCTCTGTCTGTAATAATAACAAGTCTAAGTGACCACGGCCTCAGCTGCTCATCTCGTTCCATGTGCCAGAAATACTCAGCAGGGGGATTTGCACTCCGAGAATTTCTGCTGAAATAGGTGGCAAACGCCCTTTTTCTTGCAGAACAGAACGCAGGGTGTRGAAGGTGGCTCCTCTCACAGCCTGCAGCATCTTCTGAGAGCTGAGCTGTGCCCCCATGGGTTAAACACAGAGCTGTGGGATCCACAACGCTTCAGTGTCACCCAGAGCAGGGAAGGGACATCTCCAAATCAGGGGATCTGCCCAGCTGGCCCCTCCACATGGGTTATGTCCCCCCTCACCGAGTTTCCTTTGTTCAGGGCTGGTGAATAACTTCCAGAGCAGATGGTGGAAGGGACAGAATCAAGGAATTACACTGCAGATAAAATTCAGAGTTTCATCACAGAGCACGGAATGGTTTGGGYTGGAARGGACCTTAAAGATCACCMGGCTCCAACAYYTTCCACTAGACCAGATWGCTCAAAAAATATTTATCTATWAAATATACACTKCAAGGCTTATCTCAGGTATCATTTTATCTCTCAGTTAGCAGCCCGAGCAGAAAGCCACCCCAGCTCTGTGCCCAGTTCTCACAACGTGACTCAGTTTCCCCACCTGTAACGCAGTAGGGCTAAAGCGTATCTATTTGTATGGGATAATTTGAGATCCTGGGGGGAAAAACGACATCAGGAATGGTGTGTGTTGCCATGGAACTCGAAGCCATCCATTCTGGAACGGGGCCAGAGCTGTTTAACAGTCCGAATTTGCTTTTCAGCTCCTTGCTGCTGTCACACGCGCCCGTCCGTGTCCCCAAGGGTTCTTTTTTTGCTCCCGCCCGATCCGCGGCGCTCGGTGAGAGCCGCCGCCAACCAGAGAATCTCGGCGGGGTGGGCGGGGCCGGAGCGGGGGCGGGCGCTGTGTCGGGCCCGCCGGCGCCGCGCCGTGAGGTG